TTGTATTTGTATGTGTCACTGTTTGAGGAGTTTAATTTTTTAGTTTTGTTTTATTATTTGGTTTAGTGTTTGAAATTAATATTTGTTGTAAATAGGAGTAGATATCAAGATATTTTTCTTCTTCTGCTGCCTTTCATTTTATTTTATTTGTATTGTTTTGTTGTATGTAATGTTTTGTTTTTAAAAATGAAATGAATAAATACTATAAACTAAACAAAATGATCTGAATTAGAATTAGGATTTATAACCCACACATTTTATGCTGTAGGCCGAAACTGAGCTTCCTCTTGTTGAAAGACCAGCATCCGCCACTGTTCTGGGGATAATGGTGGGTCAGACTACACGTTCCTCTGTTCCCTCTTTCTTTTTACCTTAAAGGTGATTCTGAGAAAATGTTTACTGTTCACACCAAACACACGGTTAACAATAAAAAATCCACATGTATGGGAGTTAGATAACTGGATATAAAAGCCAGTGCAAAGTGGTGCCAAAAATACCTTCAACAATATTAAGTTCAGCCTTTTTGAAGGATAAACAAATGGTGTAAAACACAAAGCATGTGTTTAGACACAAAGAAGATTTTCTGGTCCACACTGACAACTGACTCAGCTGTTTTCAGCTTCCAAAAATAATCTTTTTGAAGCTGTCCATCGAGCTGCGACCGCTCCGAGAGCACGACACAGCGAGGAGCAGTGTGCTGCTGACACTGGGGTTCCCCAGGGGTATTCCAGAGGAAGCTGTTAAAACAATTGGGGCAGCGACAGACCACCCTGAGCMGAGCCGAGTCATGCCAGTTATTATGTTAATAAACTTGTGCATGAATAAGGAACTGATTTCAATCTCAGAAATGCTCTGAAGGCTGCGTCCCTGACTGCAGCTACACACACACGTGGTCTAGTACAGCTACCTTTATGGGGTAGGGCYGCCACAAACGATTATTTTTATAATCGATTAATCCCCGATTATTTTTTCGATTAGTCGACTAATCGGATCATATGTTAATTGGATATAAAACATTCAGCTTATCACGCCAGAATGCAGCTGCTATTTTATAACCATGGTTAGATTTTAGCTATATGCTAACTAAAAATAATTGCTGTGGAAGGCAAGTTCTGCTCTGCAGATATTGTAC